GTTTGCTAACCACTTTGTTAAGTTTATAAGTGCTTTGGGGGACATATAACTTTGGTTATGTAATACATGAAAACTATTAAGATATATTATTTATATGTGCTAGGTTTATGTGTGACAATTGATTTCTCAATACTTTGCCTGTGGACACCATTCCTGAAGTTGCATTATAAATTAAATGAGCCCATTGAAGTTCAGGAGTGAATAGATATGTTTTTTTCTGGTTCAGGTTCCTCTCCAGTTTTGAGTAGCTCACCTCTGGAATCAATGGAAGATGCAGGTATTAAACACCTCGAGAAATTAGGCCCAAGATGAGAAGACAGAAATGTTGGCCTGTATGCTGGAAGCTAGGAATTAATGACTTTATCTCCCCACACCACATGTCCCTTCACTCGCTTGATTTTCAGTTCTTTTTGAAAACACTGATCACATTTTCTTGTACCTAATCTTAACAACTTACAGTGCATTTATAATACTGTATAATGTACTACTATGTACAGTAGAAGTAACGCAGAGTTATGATTTTGAATGTGCCTCTTGTTGAGACATTCATTGTTTTCCATGGTGTGGATGTATATGTTCAAATGTGTAAATTCAATAGATTTTTTTAGGGCCTGATCCTCAGCTGGTATAATTTGCACCACTGAAGCCAATTTACACAAGCTGAAGATCTGGCCTTACTTTAAAATCAAAACAAAATTCCTGAGAAAGAAACATAAGAGCAAAAAAAAAATAATGTGCTGATCACAAGTTAGGCATTTGAAGAATACATCAAGTCAAACTTTTATTAGCAAAGTTGAATTCCATGTATAATGAAAATATCTTTTAAAACCATACATGTACATAGGCATGATACAAACAGCAACTACAGTACAAACACATTTTTCTAAACCTTAATAAATTTACATTAACATTCATCTAGTAAAAAAAAGGAATGGTGTGAACTTAGTGCCACATTTGTCTTGATCTTTTCACATGAAGTAACAAAATATCTTGTGTAAAATAAAAAATACAGTATGCTTTGGCTCATACCCATATATTGGTTCCTGCATGAAAACTGAATTACTGCAGATAACAAAGCTTGATATGATAGTCAAAACTTTTACATGAAAGATATGGTGCTGAAGTGTAAACATGTACCAATAGTCAGGAGATCAAATGGCAAACATTATGTATATGCTTTATTCTGAAACACTAAACATTAAAAAAGATGCTTCTGAGGGCATGATCTTTTGTCAGGTTAATGGAATTTCTGCCAGCAAGCCCTAACAATGATTCCCTTCAATTTCTCTCTTCTTACATGGTTGTTATTTAAAATAATTGAGATACACTATATACAGCGTGTCTAAATATCCTTTTTATTTGTAGAACTATGACTGCATGATTGAAATTACAATGAAATGCCTCTTCAGATGTATACAAGGCTTAGAATAAAATTAACTAACATTGTTTTCCAAAGCTATGTGTAAAATTATTGTCAAAAGCCTGGAAAGATGCACTCTGATCGTTTTTATTTAATTCACTTGGGGAGGAAATTCTGATCCTGCAAATTTTTATTTACATGAGAATCATTGGCTCACATGGTTTGACAGAAGTGACAAATCCCTGAACCACTGCATCATGTTGAAAGCTGACCTACAGAAGATATGATTTCCTATTAATTATATATACTAAACAACCTAACTACTGTAATTTTAATACATTTATTAATGGAGTTATATGATGGGGTTGCCAAACTTAACTCCATGACCCAGGAGGTTCTTTCCATTTCTGTAGTCTATGTTCCAATATATATATTGATTTATTCATGGGGGGAAAGAACTTGTCTATTGTCTTCATTGGAAGCAGACACATGGCCAAGACACTTATCCTGTATTGGAATCCAGTAGCTAAGACTCCTGGGGAATCCCACGGATGTCAATAGGCGAATGCACAGAGGTGGGAATATGGTTTTTAAAGTGCATTAACTCCTTTCGGACTTTGTGCCCTTGAGCTCCCAGACACCACAAGAGACTAAACTGGAGACGGAGGTCATTCCTAAGAATACTACATTATGCAAGCTTTCTTTGTTGGGTGGATTGTGCATATTTTAAAATGTATTGTTCTAATACACTAGGGCCAGATTCTAATACCCGTACCCACGTTGAATGGACCATATTCCATGAGTACGTAGTATTAGAGTAAATGGGAATACTAATGGAAGCTAGGAATATCCAACATGAGTAAAGCATTTGGTCCCTATTACCAGGGAGTTGTAGTGACCCCCTATATTTTGTTTACCTAAGACTTTAAATTATAAAATATTTTTGCAACTTTTTCTTTGAGTTAGCTCTATCACCTCCATTGTTTAAAGTGGGCCTTTGAAATTCATCAGGGAGAAATCCCTAGGGCAAGAGAAGTGCCTTTTTTTGTTAGAAGAAATTCCATTCAGATGTGGCTGAGATATAAGCTTCTGAAAATCACGATTACCCTTCCGTGACTTGTGCTGTCAGTAAAATGTTGGCAGCATGCCAAAATAATAATAGAATTAACATTCTAATCTAAGCTTGATCCCATGCCACCACCAAAGCAGTAGCCGACAGAACAGGAGTGGAGAGAGAAAGCTAAGCTTTTCTCCTTTCTAAAACCCCTTCCCTCTGCTTCCCCCAGGAGTACCACATGGGGAAGGAGTTTCCCTCACCTCAGGAAGGTTGAAAAGAAGAGAGTTGTTCCATACTCACAGTAATCTCTTCATTTTCCTTAGACCCAGCAGATGACTCCAGTAACCTAGTCCCACTTTTCTATGGTATATCAGTTTTCTCTTACTGCCAACTAAAATGGTTACTGTAATTAAGTACCCAAGCTGTCCTAGAAGTTTAGGATTCAAACTGACTGATGATGTCTGATAGGGGAGCTCTTGTATTTGCATATAATAGAATTTGTTTTTAATTTTTCTTTTAAAAGAAACGACAGACAAAGATCTATATTTAAAAATATTAGTTATGGTTGTAAAATCCAAATCAGAAAATTTAGGAAAGGTCAGAATTAAGGTTTCATATGCAACCTTAATTCAGCCTTCGTGTGTGTATTGTACATATAAATATAAAAAACATGCTCACATGGCATTTTTTTCACAAGACCCCTTATTCAGCATATGCAGTTTTAATAAGTAGTTAACGTAAGAGAGGGGTTTTGTATGTAACAAATGAAAAATCATTAGATTTCCAAAATGTTATTCGATTAAGAGGATTTCAAGCACTACTGAAAAATATCAGAAATACCTGTTCTCTTAATTATGCTACTATATTTATGGTGCTAATACTTTAAATGCAACGTAAGTGTCAACATTTCCCCCTCTTTACACCAAACCCCACTGAAATGAATGGAACTGGCCTGCTTTGAATGAAAGGAAAAATTGGCTCCAAAAGTATAATCTGTTTTGCTTTTAAAATGACATCTCTTTCGGAAGCATATTTTAACCTGTACATTCCAGGATATAAAGTAGACATAATGATGCCTTTAAAAAAATCCCTGCTGAAAAAGAATTGCTCAAGAAAGCGAATGGAGCTAGACAGAGACAAGAATCTCTTGGAATTTCAGACATTTGTTTAATATTCATTGGGCAGGGTCCTAAAAAGTCAGTGCACATTTAAAACATTTCATTGCACATCTTTTTGTCACAGTGTGATTTTTAGGCCCTGAGGCATAATGAATCACGAACATTAAGATTTAAGAGTCTGAATAAAAAAAAATAATAGAAAAAGTACTCATACCAACACAGATGAATAGCACATCATAGGAATATCATCAGCAACTTTAAGCTACAAATGAGCAAGTGATAGCACAGGATGTTTATTCATTATTTGATAAGAGGATGTCCCACTAACATGGTTTGAAATTTGTGGCTGTTTAATATAGATGTTTCTGGGACAATGACGCCAATTAAACCGAACAGCCTGTAAGTGCAAGAAAAATGCATATTGTTGCTGACTTTTAATGGGTCATATCGGGCCTAATGTGTGAGCAGCCATCGAAACTTGCACATGGCAGTGGCCAACAATCCTAAAAGGTTTGCCCCTATCAGAGGTCCAAACCCTTTGCACAGAGGAGTTGTTTAGTAGCTATGGGGAGCAGAAGGAGAAGGCAGACTCGTGGAATTGAGTTCTTATCTAATACACTCTAACACCCTAGCCTGGACCTTTCCCTCCTCCACAATCAGATTTCTCTCTGAGGATTTTGTGCCACCTACAGAAGTTGGCACAGCAGTAGGGGAGAAGAAGAGAGTTTCTGGCTACTCAATGGACCATTAAAAACAAACTAGAAAGGCCAGTAATTTGTGGATGGAAGCAGTGGTGGTTGGGGACTTATTACTTCAGCTTGCTGGATAAGGCTAACTAGGGGCTCTCCCTGTCCTATTAAGAGTTTCTTTAGAGGCTGGGAAGAGATAAAATGAAGAGACTAAATTTAATGTTTACAAAATCCAAGAAAAATTTCAATTATTCTTTCCTAAAAAGAGTATCCAGTGGAAATAATTGAGAAGGCAAGGAAACGTTCCTCTGCTAGCCGAACATTGCAGCCATGTGCTAGTGCAGAGCACCCTAAAAGTGAAATGGATTAGGAACAGACTAGCAACAAATTGAAATTGTAACACAAGTCTGGTCAATTCTGTTTATTTCACTTTCAGGTTCTCATGCACTAGTGAACACTCATCCTGTTGGGTAATTTGTCTGGAGTCCTGAAAAAAGTCACCGTATGTGACTTGGAACAGGATGTAAGGTTTCAGTTTCCTGCCAGACGCCATATGTGAGACACTCTTCCCCCGCTCCACCCCCCCCCCAAAAGCTGACCAGTCTCTTTTCAGTTATCAAGTTGAATTAACTGTATAAAGTAAACAAACAGTACAAATAGTGAGATATTTTTGCAAAAAGAAGAACAGGAGGACTTGTGGCACCTTAGAGACTAACAAATTTATTAGAGCATAAGCTTTCGTGGACTACAGCCCACTTCTTCGGATGCATATTTTTCAAATTCTCCCAATTTTAGGGATCTGAGGATATTGTGTATTATAATACAGGATATTGTGCTAACTATTTTAACCTATGACCATATCATACTCCTACAAGCCACATATAAGTAGTCCCATTGGCCTTTATTCCAAATAGATGGTAGATTTAGGGCCAGGTTTTCAAAAGGATTCAGCACCCAACAGCTACCATTGTTTTCAATGGTTGTTGAGCACTTTTGAAGCTCAAGCCACTTCATTTAAGTACATGAATGGGAGCTGGTCCCTTAGGTATTGTATAAAATTAAAACCAGTGTTATAATTATTTAACAATGTGCATCATGCAGCTCATAAAGTTGTAATTCTGGGTCTGATCCTGCAAACCCTTACTCATGTGAGTAGTCTTTACTTACACTATTATTTCCACTGAAGTACTTGCAATGAAATCAATGGATCTATTTGCCTAAGGACTACTCATGTATAAAAGATTTTGCAGGAATTAGCTTTTATATAGTAAGATTTCTCCTTATAACAATGGCTAAAGTGTATTGTAATTGCAGATACAACCATTTTAAAAGAACAACATAGAACTGCAAGGAACATTTGCATTGTACTGAAGTTAACAAACTATAAAAGCAAAAACAAAAAAACAAAAATGTTTTAAAATAATTGGGAGGCCAAATATAAAAAGGCCAAACGTGCACAGTGCAGCTTTGCTGAGTTTGTAATGGGAATGAGTAGCAGAGAAAGGAACAGCTCCATTGGGAATTTTAAACCTTATTCAGTACACCATGTAGAAAAGAAACTCTAATGTAATCCATTTTTTTTAAAAAGGAACAATGCAGGATGTGAAAATATTTTTTTTAAAAATACCTAACTATTCAGGGTTTATTTTTTGGAGAGCGAAACAATGATTTTTTAAGTATTATCCAAAAGAAAGAGGAAAAGCTAATATCTGACTGTTTTATACCCAGTTTGTCCCTCTATTTCTACATAGCAATACAAACCAGTCTGTGTTTTCAGTTATGTAAATATTAACGTAATATGTACAAGAGAGACAAGGTGGATGTCTTTCATGGACCAACGTCTTCTTCTGAAGAACTCTGTGTAGCTCAAAAGTTGGTCTCTTTCCCCAACAGAAACTGGTACAAAACAAAGATATTACCTCATCCACCATGTCTCTCTAGTATCCTGGGACCAACATCACTACCACAAAATTGCAAATAATATGTACAATTCATTCCTGAAATGTATGCTAGCATACAAATATACAGACAGAAGGCAGACAAAAAACAGTTGCTTAGAAATGCAGTTTTCAAGGATCTTGGGAGGCAGATTCAGGTGGCCTTTTTAGTAGTCTAAAGACCTGATCCTGCTTCATTGACACATAGAACAGATGTGGGATGAGCCTCGTTATCCTCTGCCAAAGGAAAACTAGTGTAACTGAACTTGTTTAAGGAAAGAGTGATAGTTACTGGAGAGAAGATATAGATACCAGATCGGAAGCTGTTTCTTTTGAGAGCAAGTTTGTGATCAAATTATTTTTGGATAAAGCTGTTTCTCTAAGTAATTGCAATCAGCTCTAGCCACTAATTCTAGACTTACTTAAACAGACTTTCTTCTTCTTCTTCATGAACATTAAATAATATATGGAATCTATTTCTATAGTGTTTTCAATTATTTTTTTCTTGGGGTTAATTTTTAAAGTAATCTCCCTTCTCCCACCCCCACTACCTTCTGACCTCCACAATGCTAAGGTCATTATATATTAGGGAATACTGGATGTAAATGTATATACAAAGTGACAAAGCATACAAGAAAGAGAAAAGTTATATAGAGAAACATGTAGGGTAGCAAGTATCTATATACATATGTAACACTGAGAAGCTATGGTTTTGGTCAGACTGAGTGGTATATATTGAATGTGAGAATATTATTCACCTGTTCTTTACGAATGAAAACACCTGAACAATCAGGACTGAAAAGTCTCAAAAATCATCTTTTGATAGCAGCGACTAATTCCCATATTACCTGGAGGTTGGGGTCCTGACTGATTCATTCTGCAACCTACTTCTGATCACATATGGTAATAGTTGATTACTAGTCAAGATAAATATGGAAATTTGAAATTAATCATTTATGTTAATATTTTATGCATGGAGAGGAAATGTTGCTGTAGAACTTCCAGTGCTTTCGACTGATCCTTTTTCCTTAGATCCAGCGTAAGCGCCAATAAATGAACCATCTTCATTAAACATCCCTTGGTCCCCTTCTCCATAATCTACCAAACTATCAGCACTTTCCGTAGCTTTAATGTCCCCGTTAAGTGACTGGAGGCTGCCTTTGAGTGGCTTCTCATCGCTGTCACTATGAAATAAAGAAAAATCTTCCCAAAATCTAGCTTTGTATTACAATTACAACAGCAATTGTTCATTTCCTTTATCAAAATAAACAGATATATTGAGGGAAGAGGGAATCAGATACATTTTGATGGGGATACAGTTTCAAAACATTGCACACAACACACTATTCACTTGATTCTAGGTCAAGTCAATGAATGTGGTGCAGCTAATGCACCCTGCTCTGTGCATTGTTTGCATTTTGCATTTTTTGTAATTTTGAATTTAGTGGAATAGGTCAAAAAACAAAACCAAACAAAAAATGCAAACATTACTGAAAAGAATGGATTGCAAACAGTTTTTATTTTTCCTTTTTTGTCCCCTTTCCATCTTTTGCCATTGAAAATGGAGGGGAGGGGGGGGGAGGGGAAGGGTCCCAAGGAGAAGGAAGGGGAAAAAGAGGAAAAGCTGAAAACCAGCTCTACTGGTTCATCATTGTACCTTATTTTGTATCTTAAAGAGAGGCATAAAGAGTCTTATTTTACAAAGCAAAGAGCCATTTGTATTGCCCATTACAGGGTTCATTTGTTTCACCAGCCTTTGAAGTGGAGTAGGTGGATTGAGGTAAAAGCTGATGTTTGGGGGTATTGGTATTTTATTGTGTCCTGTTGCTTTTTGGAAGGGGTGAGCACTATTTTTGGAACTTTAAATGATTGGCATGGTGCTGGGTGGGCACTTTTATTTATTCTGAGTAATAAATAAAAATACATTTTGCATATCTATCTATTTCGCAACTGCACAGTCAAATCTACATTCACTCCGTGTGACACTGTTTCCATCTAGGGATGACTGGGCCATGCTATCGGGCTTGATGAGCCTGCCTCAGCCTTGGGTAAGAGAGCTGAATCTCTTCTGTTTTCAGATGCAGAGGTGCCAGGTTTGACTTCAGTGCTGAAGATTCATCCAGGGGCACAGAATTACATAAAGTGGGTAATTTACATGCACTAGACAGCTGTGTGCCTCAAATACCAATCTGTAATGCAGCAGTTATTGCACATGCCATAATGTACGTAGATCATCTCATCTCTGAAACATCAGGCTCAAACCTCACTTCTTCATACCATTTGTATTTAGTACAAAAGAGCCCATCATTTCATATGCTCTAGAATTACTTGGGAAGAGTCTCCAAATCTGTTTTGGGCTGCTCTGGCTTCACACTTAATTCACCACTGAGCCTTCCACGGTCCCATGCAGGGTTTGTGGCTGGATTACTCCCATATTGGCTAATCCCCAGTTGCTGGAATGACCTTTATGTTGGCAGGCTGTGCTCAATTCAGCTACACCTAAGGATTAGGGAGCCACAAAGGCCCCAGATTCTGGATTTGTGCCAAATAC